TATTTTGGGACCCCTCAGTAGTGCGCATCCAAGACCCCGCCACGCGTGATCCGAACCCAGGACCTGTTAGTCTTGCGCGCGAGAGCTGAGGAGTCTCATAATAGGACGAAACGACCGTCCAGTGCTTCCAGGTTCTCCATGGTGGTCCTGCTTCAATTGACTCATGATCTCAGATATTGACATTTAAATTTCGATTGTTTTACGTAATAAGCTTGTGTCACATTCTACAGTCCTCAAATTATGCAACAGCAGATAAAGAGTCAGTCATACTTATGAATCATATTATGTCCAAGATTCAAACTATTTTGCTTTATCTATTTAAAAGTTATATTATTTTAACTATCCTAATAAAGCTAAAGTTTATTGGGTACTTGAAGTACTTATGGTCATATAGTTTCCTTAAATTAGAAATGAGGGAATCAAGTTGGACTTATGTAGACTGAAATTTGCATTTTCAATTTTTGTCATAAGTTTAACTCAATAAAATCTGACTAAAACTACTGCCAAATAATTAATAGAATGATAAACTGATCAGTAATTAGATTCGATTTCCGAAAATCGATCATTGATGTAAATCAATGAGTCATAGATTAGAACAAACAATGTTTTAATTAATCATGATTATTTATTTTACTTCATTTAATGTTTCTCCAACGAAATATGAACTGAAATGAAAAATACAAAACGACTTGCTTAGGGATTTAATGTTGAATAATAAATTAAAGTAATTGTTTGTATACTTCGTTACATCGTTGTTGCATTCCGCCCGATAGTCTCTGGTAATATTTATGTTTCAGCCTTATTTCACTATTTCATTTAACTTGTATTTCTTTCTTACTAATTAGGTTTACTTGGCTGGATAAAATTCGAAAAATGAAAAACTAACTGGTCGATTGGTCGGTTATGAGTTAGAAACAGGATGAATTCTGTATTGCTCAGAAACTAACAGAATCATTTCATTTATATTTGTACGTAATTTAGAATTTTTTCTGACCAGTTCGGTTAACACTAAAAAATTCGTTGATGAAAATCTGCATAGGTTTCATTTAAGAAAACGATTTGTAAACCTTTCGTATTTAAATTAAATAGTCAGTAAGTGGATTAGTTTCAGTGAAACCGCTATGTGACCCAAATTTGTAGTATTCTGACAATCAAATGTAACCATTTAGCATCACTTGGCCCATTTGTCATAGTCCGACTTAATTATTAGATATTGATCAGTCCTACCGGTTAAAGAGCATACCTCATTGGTCAGTAGTATACCACATTGCTTCTACTGTCATACTAATCAATCATTATCAACCAGTGTTTATCACCATTAGCATCAGTATGAATAACGAATGAATGAACAAGGAAGTGACTGAAACAGAATATATAAAATTATTCATAAGTCTGCATGAATCTGTATAGCTTGAATGATCTAACTTTTGTGTATGAGCATAATTTCAAATAAAGCGTACATTAGATTACACTGTACTCAGATTTTATGTCCATAAACGATAATAATTCCAAATGCACAATATTTAAGATCTGTTTGAACACTAAGTGTTATGATTAATACATTAGCTCTTTACAACTGATCAGAAGGATAGCTAAATGGTGAACTTATGACTATCTGTGTATATGAGTTTAGCAATTGTCACACATAATATACCTTTTAATTATAGTAAAAATAGAAATCATAGGTAACAAGTATGCCTGTTAGCAATCAGTAATAAATTTTAATATACATGTAACCAAGAAATAAATAGACTGTCAATTAATAAACAATAAAAAATAGCATCAATAATATGATATGATACAGCCTGAAATGAACACAAATACCATTTTACAATTTTAACTATAGTTTCAAAGACGTATTTGAATGTTATATTCAAAACGAGTGAAAAGTAGTTTATTCTCCAAAACTTTAGTTTTTCAATGCTATTTAACATTAACTAGTTTACACAACAGTTATTTTACCTTTTCCGAAAAATCACTTCTCATTAAATGCTCTGTATTAATGATGTCTTTTTAAAGTATTAAATAAACCAATATATTTGTTTATTTGAAACTAGACATATATAAAGTAAAATTGTAAAATGTTATTCCTATTTTGGTAACTAACTATTGCAGTGTTTTTAACATTGATGGTTGAATAAACTTCATAAAATCACTTTTGTAACTGATACACTGGGAATATAACATTTTTAGATAGAAATCTAATTTTAAGAACTTAATAGGCATAATCATTTTCCTCTTTATAATGAATTGTGGCTTAAAATGGAATTTATTCAATAGGTGAATCCTGTTTCTAACTATCGTATACATCTAGAAACAGACATTATAATTATCAATAATATAATATAACTCAGAATATAGATGTTTAGTTGGTTTTTTATTCGACTAACAGCTGAATGTCATAACATAACCATTATATCTTGCCGTTATCCAAAAAATGATGGACTTTATGATCACTCTGCTTTCAAATTGCTGTAAGATATGTGACTGTTCGCCAAACTAATTGTCATCTAAACATTACTGATTATAAGATCAATGATGTGAAGACCAATTATCTATAATACACGTAAACAGCATATATTTTGTACACTCAATTTGGCTTAAAATATTGTACAAATGCAATTTTAGCTTATAATTTTACTATTTAAGGTCAGTCTTTATTACTTCATTAAGAAAAAACGTTTAGTTGGTTATTAAACGTCAATTAAAACAAGTTCGTATAGCCACTGAAGTGATTTAACTGAAATATAACAGTATTTTCTTCGAACTACACTTATCAACATTCAGATTGATTTTAATCAATACTTTATTGATTTAAAAATCAATCAGATGATTTGAAGAGAAAATTAGAGGGGTGGAAAAAGTTGAATCAGGCTAGGAAAAACAAATTTTTTTATTTATTTATTCACAGAAGCAGGGATGACAGAGGGATTTATTTCTTTTTAAATATTCACATTTCTTTTAGTTTGCTTGTTTTTACTGAAATGAAGTTATTTTTTGTTTATTTTAGAAATATGATTCATTAAGTGAATAGTGAAAAATATATGTTAAGGTAAATAAATGTACAAAACAAAAGTTTAAAATTTATTTTTGAGTTAGGATTTTGTGTGGGGACTGACGTCAGGCGGGAAATCGTCTAAGACAAGAGAGATCCAGACATTGTGCAGTCGAAATGTAGGACCCAGTAATGGTCTGTTTCACACACAGTCGGACATTAAGGATCAGAGTTCGATGTTAGAGAGAGTTTTTGCTGTGACCTACTGAAGAGTCTTAAAGTATGTCGAACTTATTGTATAGCATCCTCTTGGTTTGAAATAGTTCATCAATTTATACAACTTTAGTTAGAAAACTAACTTCGAATTCTACACTATCATCAGATCAGTAAGAAATGTCTTTTTATGTAACTTACTCTGATACTTTTGTGTTCACTGGTCAGGACCTATAGTTTTGAGTTGTTTTGTAACTTAGTATTATCCTTAGAGTCAATTAATAACTATGTGAATGCATAGTAGTATTGTTGTCCACACGTAGTAAGATTAAGTAATCAACTAAGAGGACAGGAAAGAATAACTGCAGTGATGAGATAAGTTAATCACTTTCTAAGTATTGTGAATATGACTTATGAAAAGCTTTCACAATAAATTAAGGGAATAAAAACAAATCTAATTCACTGTCATTATGTTTTGGAAATTCCAATTTTGATGTTGAAAGCAAACTTGAGCAATAAGTGTTTTTGTCTATTTTTAAAAATTCAGAGAAAATGCTTTTCATTATAATACACTAATGTAAATAAGCGATTAGACAAACAGCATTCAAATTCCGGCAGGTTCACTTCCTAAAGGTCATAAATTGTAAACATGGTAGATACTATGCCTTCTAAAGGAAATGTCTACATAATTCATGCGCCATTTAAATGACCTGAGAAACGCCTCACTTTGTAACTTTTAGGTCCAAAGTTATGTTATAAAAAAGAGGTCCATTCTTACGGTGTCTTTTTAATCTACACTCAATTTTTTAATGTAAAAATGATACTGGTAGGCATTGAACAAGGTTGATTGATCGACAGTTTAACTAACGTCTTGAGAATGTCATATTTCTTAAAACATTGAAAAAGGTAAGTGAACAAGTAGTTATGATTAGGGCAAATTAATAGGTCTACGTCGCAAATATGATCTATACTTCATAAAATAAATCCACACTAGCCCTGGTTGTTTTTAAAGAGTCCCAAACTCATATGTTCGACTTGTTTTTACATACATGTTTTTTACATATGGACGACCATGAACCACGTTATTTGCTAAACTTAGTTCTAGATGAAGTGCAAAAGATAATCTATCTGGACGTTTCATGATTATTCTAAGGACTGATTTTAGCACACATTAACACCGATTATTCAAAAGAAATCTCTTTAATCATTTTTCTGAGCAAAACCTCAGTTGTGTACAGAGATTTTGTAACTTTGACGCATTCAGTTAGTCAAAATATCCGCTTCCATTCATAATAATTTCATCAAAGAAACATTCAACATCGTTTTCTCTAGTATATTTCAATATGTTTCAATAACGCGTGATTGACATAATGACCCAATTTTTCACACATTTAGTAGGTCACACTATCCAGCGAGATTTACACACGTAATATACAAATAAAATAAAACGTATTTTAAGGGCGTTTGTCATTTTTCTTGCTGACCTTTTTCGAACTGCAGGTACCCTAATAACATGCAAAATGGGTATTAGTCATTTATCCTAAAACGCATTTAGTGATGTAACATCCTTGGAAATGTTAGTCTTTGAAACATAAAATCGTAAAACTAAAATGGCAAATCGCATATTTAAGGAGCTCTTTTGTAAAAGAATATTTGAATTGATATTAAAGTTTAAGAAATCATCCTGTAGACGCATCCCTACAGATATCATGTTAAAATATGAATTATGAAGACGCAGTGTACAATATAACATATAAGTTACTTTAAGTTATGGAAAAAGTCAATTACTCACTTCTGTATTGGAAACGGTTATCGGGAAAATTCATAGTCGGTTTCTTCACAGTTCTTAGACATCTGTTCTAAAACTAACCAGCTTTAAATTTTATTTAATCTGTAAAGACATTTACAGAGAGCAGAAAATGATGATGTGGGATTAATATGTCACGCAAAACAATATACTGAAAGTACGTTTACTTGGTAAGACGGATTTAATTCTCACTTTATAAAACCAGATAAATAGAGTTATGTAAAATAATAGTGCGTAATTTTACGCTCTACAACATTTCCTTTTTGACATACATTATTTTGAGTCTAATATAGATTTATCAAGATTTCTCAATTTTTACGTCTTTAAATAATCTTTTATGCATTCACAGACCATGTTTGTATAGTTTGTTCAGATTTTAAAGTTGGTCTTTGACGCTGTCCCATGTTTAGTCTACTTATGATCGAAGTGGATATATAATCAAAAGGTCATAATTGAATAAAGATTTAAGTGTAATCTACTTAACAAGAATCAGGTTTGTTATTCCTACAAATTGCTGTTTCTGAAGTCACGCATACAAGACGTGGTGACAAACAAACACCCTTTAAACTCAACAACCAATCACACTTATAATAGTATTTATAACTATAATCATTATGTAATGAAGAACCTCGAAATGTCCAAACAACAACGATTGTGTAGTAATGTTTGATTTAAACCATTTCTCTTAACTGTTTGAAATGGTTTGACTTTGTTTCTCGACATTTGATTTTAGAGCAGCTTCATGTACACAAATTATCTGTAAGGCGTAGGTTAAATCTTTATTTTTTTCAAATATAATATAAAAATAAAGTGTGTCATAGAATTATAGAAGTGTTTTCACTTTTATTCAAACTTATTTACCATTCACATTTTTAGTCACAGCTTATCAACTTTGTTTACAATATGTCTTCTGTGTTTCTCTTTTCTTATGCAGCAGAATAATTCTAAATCATTAGTGACGGATGTCCTTCAGTCAAAATGAAACGTAACCATTACCTATTGCTAGTACGTTTGACTCCAGTGAGTATTACTCAGAAATTAGTAGATACTGCCTTTCGAGGCAGTTCCAATTCGACTTTAAGTAATGCTTTTTCTGTTGCGAGTCTTTAATAGCGTTTCCTTAGGAACTTGTTCCTAAATTCTCAATCCATTATTTTAATTAAGAGCACGGATCAAAACCAGTCAACCTTGAGCTTTGTTGATAAATATTCACTCTATTCATTTATTTCAATATACTACATTTTTGTGTATCAAAAGCCTTGCTTTTTAACAATGTTTCCATACTAAGCTACTGGAATTTGTTTTAAATGCTTTTGACAAGTTCTGTTTCAGTAAATGCAAATATTACTAATGATTATTATAACTTAAAGTGTTTTCCAAATGAAACTAATGATGGTGTGACATATTCGCTTCTGTTGATTAATCACGAATGTTACACGTCAGCTATCATCGTTCGAAAGCATTGGTTAGCTGCTAATTTCAATAGTCGTGTACAAAATCAGTGTATGAGCCAAAACTCAACTACGATCAAAAACCTCCAAGCAAGTTTAGGGAAAACAAATCACTATTAGTCAGGCTTTGCTTGAAGGCGTAGTTAAATCAATGAAACGTTGGTAAATTCTGAAAACATTAGCCATTCAGAGGGAATGAAAAAATGAGCACCATGATCAAAAGATAAAGTTGGAAGATTCACACAACTAGCATAGATTATTAAGTTTCTATATTCTCAAAATCACTCTTCAATGTGATGACTTTAGTGAACATAAACGTTGTCTCTAGCCTAACTGATTCTCAACATTTAGCGCCGACGTTAGTAGGGGCAATGTACTCACATTGTGGTTATATGAAAAGGCAGATGTTATGTAAATGAATTCCCGCTTTAACCTGCATTCAGTGCCGCAACTTATTTCGGATGAACTTACTCAAGATATATGGTCGGTCACAAAGAAGAATGTGGTTATTCAGTAGGCAGGTAATAATAATTTTATTTACTTTACACAAAATCCTACAATTTTCCATTTTTGAAACCCAACTATTGATAATGTCTTTGATTAGAAATTGGTTCGAGTTCATATTCGTCATTTGACATTGCTTACATTTCGTATGTGAAGTATGTGCGCTCGCAAACCTATGCTCCCAAATGTTATACTTTACATCTTCCTATAGGATTCTCATGGAAACCTTCCTTCATACTACATGAAAATATGGCTTGCCGTCAGGCTTATCTTCTGAGTACTAGATGCATAATAAGTGTTCCTAGAATATGTCCATGATAAAATATCAATTTTGACCATTAATCGCATGCGTAATTTCAACGACATCATATCACTTAGGTGAAAAGTAGATTGTTTTTATTTAAGCTGAATAGCTATGATATGTGATGGAAAGTTGACATGGTATTTATCTAGTTAATACAGGATTATACTCGACGCAGTCAAAACGGAAGAAATTCGTCGATATCTGAATGCTATGTTTTAAGTTAGTTTTACGAGGGATTCCGCAGCTGTCAAAAGGTAATCATAATCGATGAGTGAGTTCAAGTAATTACTTGAACATTTAAATGTGCACACTAAATAATTTTCAGTCTGAAACAGCTTTTTCAATGGAACTCCAAGTACAAGTCCACACGTAAAAATACAGATCTTACCTAACACATTCATGAACTTATGACTATTTCTTAGAAAGCCTACTCTCGTAGTCAACTAACGACACATCAAAAGTTACTCACTTAAATTCGCGTGAGTTAAAGTTAGTGCAATTCGATGAAGTCAAACATATTCAAGAATGAAATAAGTAACAATGACGTGAGTGACACCAGCTACTTGCTTTAAAAGCTCTAATCTTTCAACCAATTTCATGAGATCGAGTTTTCGTTATATTTTTTTAAAGTTATATTTTGCCTTTTAAAATTACACTTCTCAGTCGATTTCCTAAGCTTTCACAAAACGGGTTTCTGAGTCTAGTAACAACACACTGTGGATTCTCCTGTATTTTTTCTTCCGCAGTTGAAGCAAACAGAATCAAAGAAGGCGTTGGAAGGTCAAAGTGAAATGCTTTTTGCAGTTCCTAAGTTCATAGACTTCAAGGACGTTACCGGCACTCCTTCATTCTGTGGCTGATTCCAAGACTTAACTGTTCGTACGGTTTATAACCTATACGTATATAGATACTCCCTTACCAGTGACGCTAGTGAAGTCCTCTAAAGGTTGATTTAGCTAGTATAGCAGCCATTGTTCCTTGAGATCAAATCTCAAGGATTAGTATAGACCTCTAGTGGCATTGGACCATAACCACACAATCATAGTAGACCATAATTATACAGACCATTGTTTAGCGTGGAGATACACAGTTGAATCTGACCTTAACACCGGATATTAGGATGTTTTATTGAACATACTTGTTCGTTCTTATTAATTACAGTAATTTCTAAGTGCTTGAATGAAATCCACACATTTGATAAGTATACAAGATTTTCCGATCGAGTCTTACCCGTCCGGCACTTATGCTCATCGTCCGCCACATTGAGTGAATAAAATTCAGAAATGGCAACCCTTCTACGAGCAAACTACTCTCTAATGACCGTTGCCCGATTAATTTTCGATTGGACGACAATGGTTTGATTGATAAACAGGTCTGTAATAGCACTGGTTCCCAACCACATAACATTTGGTGCCGAATATGTCATAACCGAGAAGAGCTACATTAGCCGTTGAACGGTTGAAGCTTTTCAGAAAAGGTGAAGATGTGAATATTTCATAAGGCAAGCGAAATTTCACCGGGCTTTAACCAAATAATTCGACAGTCAAGTCGAACACTTTACCAACCATCGCAGTGATAGGGGTGACCGTTACATAACAACGAAATACACAGCGGTCGTACCCTGTTGTTTATACATATTCCTACCAATGCGTGTCTGTAATAATATTGTTTTGTCATCAAGGCAACTATAGGACCTGGTTGCGACGAGATGTCAACCCAATTCAGGTATTAACCGCCGAATATGACTTCGATATAAACTGGGTGGGTAGCGTCGTCCCTGTTGACCTTAAGCAGGACTCTGGTCATTCATATAGATTGCTCACACAGATGGCCTACGACTAAATCTAACATCGTCCTTCTTGCGTTAATGATACAAGACTGTCTCAAGCCCAAATATATCCCCCAAAAAAGACAAAATGAATACAATCGATTATCATGGTTGAACCAGACAATATAGACAATAATGTGACTTCAACGTAATATCTAATAGCTAGGTACTCGTGTCATCGCAAGTCCATAGAATCAGATAACACGCAATTGGTCCTTTTTTAAATTTCAAAAAACACAATGAAATTGCGTTGATTTGAAAAATGTGTTGTATTTGCACTTTGGATTTCAAACACATATACTTGTCGAGACATTTTATTATTATTGTCTCTTCAGTTTACTTCGGTTGTTCTCTGAAGCCTCCAGCCTACATTTCCACAACATCCAATTAAGCGGAATTGTTCGAGTTATCTTGTCTCTTTTTTACGCCCTTCCGGCAGAGGATTGGCGGAATCACAGTTCTTACTTCTCGAGCTTCTCATATGTCAAGTTAATTGAATCATAGATGGCTAATTTTTAAGCGAAACAACTACACCTTTAACTGTGCATAAATCGTTTAATGAACATCAGTGCAAGTAATTATAATTCATTAAAGCAGTACGGCGTCTGAAATTTGACGGTGAACCAGTTATCTTCTAGATGAGCATTGTACTTGAGATCTACATTCATGAATTTATACAAAACATACACAGAATTGCATTTACAAGGCAGTTCCTTGCTATAATGAGAGGGAAATTCTCAAATGAAAATCTGATGGAAGCGAACTGTTCAGTAGTAGTCTGAAAGGAGTTTTAAAATTAGAAACTAGTTTAATAGTCTCAGATTCATAATTAATCGATGAGAAAGCAAAGTACTTATTAGTAGAAATGTAAATTACAGGAAAACCATTACAACATTGTTTAGACAGTTCATTTACAGGTTTTAGGTCTTGATCGGTATGACACCATTTATCTATGTTACTAAAATAGCAGACCAACCAAATATTGTGGAATTGCAATGATGTGAATTTCTATTTCATAAGAAGTTCCATCATCGTCTACAGTGACTGATTCCGCCATAGCGGTCAGCAGTGCACTTTATAAATAACCGTAGCACGATGAATTCTTGATAGCAGTAGAATAATGTATTTTACACAAAGTGCAGGAACGCACACAGAACGACCAATCCTGGATGGTCGAGCCAAGACATCTAGATTGAGTTATCTTTCAAGACTTTCTGAAGACTTCATTCGCGTGTTTAACGGGTAATAGATATCTTTAAAGTTATCGTATTTTCTGCCTCGATGACTGTGTTGGTAGAAACTAATGGCCACACCCACAAACAATAGATAATGTTAAGGGACTTCGACATTTTCTCATTACTAAATACCGAGAATCGAAACGTACTTACATCAACGGAGGAGAGTTTTTCCGTGAAGTTTACTCTTGTATCACTTAGTCTGTGCGTTAACGAGAATCGGTGCAAGGTTTTGATAGCTGAGGATATTTGACGAACTAACTCCTGCCTCACTTCCTTGAAAGCCGTCATCACCGTTGGCAGGATCAATCTTAATCCACAAATAAATGACCAGTGTATACACTTCCATGCGTGACATCAGCTCCTTGTAATATGACAGTCGCCTGTTACGGTCGAAAATCTGTGATAATCAAGGAATGAACCCTGGTGTCTTCGGTTTAACAGTTGTTTGCTGCATCAATAACAATCCATTATTATTATTGACCATATATGATAGAGTCGTTAAGATGGTTGTCAGTACAAGTAGCAACTTTGAATGGCATACATTGCAAAAAAGTGACTATAACTTTCACCTCAAAAGACATTTTCGCTAGTTAGTCTTCTTCTCTTTATTTAATCTTTTTTGTTTGCTGTGGATCAAACGGGTATATTTTTAGGTATCAGTGTCATGGCTGGACTTGATAGTTTTGAATGAATTGTCACTCAATAGAGTTTTAATAATACATGATTTGTCATATCCCAATGAGTAGAGGAATATTGTTTCTGACGTTTCGTGATTTAATGTTCTTAGTTAAAGTGAATTGGAATGACCAATCACATGACAATGGCATGTTCAGACCTATTATGCCTTGGAGTTGTACTAAAAATACTCTGAAATGTTTACTTTGTATCATTTTAATTTGAGTTAATTTAACTCACTTATTTATTTACTCTAAAAGATTGCCCACATCGAGTCACGAAACGTCAGAAGTACAAATTTTCTAATTATTGGGATATAATAAGAAAATATGTGTGTTATTATTCGAGTATACTGTTTGATAAATGACTTAGCACACATTGATAGTTTGTAGAATTATGGTCTACTATGATATTAGTACTGCCCTACTAATAGACCTAATCCTAAATTTGTAGATTTGTCATGATATAACTGCCTAATCTATAAGATCTTACGTGGAAGTCACACCATCGACTACACCAACTCACTGTACCGTATCAATTACCAATACATGATGTAGAACAAGGTTAGGCTAGAGAAGGAACAATATATTTAATATGAATAGAAGATATAAGGTAACATTCAGATGGACCACGCCTGCATGGTCGAGCCATGCCATCCGATCAACTCCAATTCATTCAATTCATCGTTCGCGCCTTCTCCATTGCTAGGTATTTCTCCGCGTTAAATATTGAATATCTATTTTCTGAGTAGTCTCGTGTTCACAGTTTTGTGGATTGTGTGGCTACTGTCCAATGCCACTACACTACTCTCCCACCAGAATCAACGTGATGTTGGTTCTATACCAAATTGGATGGGATCGTCGCGCGCCGGAGGTTACCAAGGATAATAAGAATCCTCCGGGTATTGGTAAGCTGAAAAATAAATCAAAAAGAAGGCGGCAGCATCTGGTCGGGAAATACATGTAATAATTTTTAAAAAAATCTGCCTTCATGCTTAACACACTTAAAATGACAATTTGAGTGATTATTTGAGCTATTAAAAATGGGATTACAATAATAATAATAAAACGATGCGTGTTAATAGCCGTTGGTTAATAACTTAACGTATAGGTAGTAAGTATTTTGTGTTTAGGAATATTAAAGTAATGAATGTTGTAAAAATGTTAATATTGGTATTAGTTTTGGTTTAAATTATAAAATCAAATAACGATTATGCCGGTAAGTTGTCTATATGAGTTGAATTCCAATTGCATCTGTATTAGTAGGCTAACTGAAGGAACAAAAGTATACGTGGAGAAGAATTCCAACTAGTGTTCCAGTCCGTTTGATACGGTTTATTTAGTTACGGGGAGATTTTCTCAACCTCATTTTTACTTGACCGTTGTAGAATTTAGTAATACTACTAATACACATGAATGTTTATCAAAACAAAATTTAAATACGTGTGTGATGAATATACGAATTTTGGACAGATAGCTAGGAACAAATCGTTAAACGTGAATGTATTTGTAAGGGACATGCTGTAGACTCAATGTTCTGATCTGTGGCAGACTATTTATTTATATTTATACTTGCCAGCTGATTGGGCATACAAGTTAGTTGCAAGTATGCAGTTTATCATAAGGCGGAATACGATTTAATTGAGATATAGTGGTTATAAGTTATTAAAATCAGTTAGGCCTGTGTCATATTACGAAGTGATGTGGTGCTGCAAGATGTATTTAGGTAAA